CGCAACGCCATTGTGATACCATCTGTACACAGAGCTGGGGTACCCCTCCGTCTCCTGGCAACGCAGAACCGCCGACTTTCCCACCGGGACAGACTTGGGCACTCGGCACTGCGGAGTCACCGGCTTCACTGAGGAAGAAGAGAGTGTTACATGTATCTGCATAACATACTACACGGAGCTGCACTACACGTGTCCGACATGAACATACAGAATAAGAGGATGAAAAGGACCCGAAGAGTCTCCCCATACAATGCCCCCCCCTCTAGGAGGACCTGAAGAGTCTCCCCATACAAGTCCGTCATGTGGTCTGAGGGATCTCCTCGCCTGTCATGTGGTCTGAGGGAGCTCCACGTCTGTCATGTGGGCTGAGGGATCTCCCCATCTGTCATGTGGTCTGAGGATCCCCACGTCTGTCATGTGGTCTGAGGATCCCCACGTCTGTCATGTGGTCTGAGGATCCCCACGTCTGTCATGTGGTCTGAGGATCCCCACGTCTGTCATGTGGTCTGAGGATCCCCACGTCTGTCATGTGGTCTGAGGATCCCCACGTCTGTCATGTGGTCTGAGGATCCCCACGTCTGTCATGTGGTCTGAGGATCCCCACGTCTGTCATGTGGTCTGAGGATCCCCACGTCTGTCATGTGGTCTGAGGATCCCCACGTCTGTCATGTGGTCTGAGGATCCCCACGTCTGTCATGTGGTCTGAGGATCCCCACGTCTGTCATGTGGTCTGAGGATCCCCACGTCTGTCATGTGGTCTGAGGATCCCCACGTCTGTCATGTGGTCTGAGGATCCCCACGTCTGTCATGTGGTCTGAGGATCCCCACGTCTGTCATGTGGTCTGAGGATCCCCACGTCTGTCATGTGGTCTGAGGATCCCCACGTCTGTCATGTGGTCTGAGGATCCCCACGTCTGTCATGTGGTCTGAGGATCCCCACGTCTGTCATGTGGTCTGAGGATCCCCACGTCTGTCATGTGGTCTGAGGATCCCCACGTCTGTCATGTGGTCTGAGGATCCCCACGTCTGTCATGTGGTCTGAGGATCCCCACGTCTGTCATGTGGTCTGAGGATCCCCACGTCTGTCATGTGGTCTGAGGATCCCCACGTCTGTCATGTGGTCTGAGGATCCCCACGTCTGTCATGTGGTCTGAGGATCCCCACGTCTGTCATGTGGTCTGAGGATCCCCACGTCTGTCATGTGGTCTGAGGATCCCCACGTCTGTCATGTGGTCTGAGGATCCCCACGTCTGTCATGTGGTCTGAGGATCCCCACGTCTGTCATGTGGTCTGAGGATCCCCACGTCTGTCATGTGGTCTGAGGATCCCCACGTCTGTCATGTGGTCTGAGGATCCCCACGTCTGTCATGTGGTCTGAGGATCCCCACGTCTGTCATGTGGTCTGAGGATCCCCACGTCTGTCATGTGGTCTGAGGATCCCCACGTCTGTCATGTGGTCTGAGGATCCCCACGTCTGTCATGTGGTCTGAGGATCCCCACGTCTGTCATGTGGTCTGAGGATCCCCACGTCTGTCATGTGGTCTGAGGATCCCCACGTCTGTCATGTGGTCTGAGGATCCCCACGTCTGTCATGTGGTCTGAGGATCCCCACGTCTGTCATGTGGTCTGAGGATCCCCACGTCTGTCATGTGGTCTGAGGATCCCCACGTCTGTCATGTGGTCTGAGGATCCCCACGTCTGTCATGTGGTCTGAGGATCCCCACGTCTGTCATGTGGTCTGAGGATCCCCACGTCTGTCATGTGGTCTGAGGATCCCCACGTCTGTCATGTGGTCTGAGGATCCCCACGTCTGTCATGTGGTCTGAGGATCCCCACGTCTGTCATGTGGTCTGAGGATCCCCACGTCTGTCATGTGGTCTGAGGATCCCCACGTCTGTCATGTGGTCTGAGGATCCCCACGTCTGTCATGTGGTCTGAGGATCCCCACGTCTGTCATGTGGTCTGAGGATCCCCACGTCTGTCATGTGGTCTGAGGATCCCCACGTCTGTCATGTGGTCTGAGGATCCCCACGTCTGTCATGTGGTCTGAGGATCCCCACGTCTGTCATGTGGTCTGAGGATCCCCACGTCTGTCATGTGGTCTGAGGATCCCCACGTCTGTCATGTGGTCTGAGGATCCCCACGTCTGTCATGTGGTCTGAGGATCCCCACGTCTGTCATGTGGTCTGAGGATCCCCACGTCTGTCATGTGGTCTGAGGATCCCCACGTCTGTCATGTGGTCTGAGGATCCCCACGTCTGTCATGTGGTCTGAGGATCCCCACGTCTGTCATGTGGTCTGAGGATCCCCACGTCTGTCATGTGGTCTGAGGATCCCCACGTCTGTCATGTGGTCTGAGGATCCCCACGTCTGTCATGTGGTCTGAGGATCCCCACGTCTGTCATGTGGTCTGAGGATCCCCACGTCTGTCATGTGGTCTGAGGATCCCCACGTCTGTCATGTGGTCTGAGGATCCCCACGTCTGTCATGTGGTCTGAGGATCCCCACGTCTGTCATGTGGTCTGAGGATCCCCACGTCTGTCATGTGGTCTGAGGATCCCCACGTCTGTCATGTGGTCTGAGGATCCCCACGTCTGTCATGTGGTCTGAGGATCCCCACGTCTGTCATGTGGTCTGAGGATCCCCACGTCTGTCATGTGGTCTGAGGATCCCCACGTCTGTCATGTGGTCTGAGGATCCCCACGTCTGTCATGTGGTCTGAGGATCCCCACGTCTGTCATGTGGTCTGAGGATCCCCACGTCTGTCATGTGGTCTGAGGATCCCCACGTCTGTCATGTGGTCTGAGGATCCCCACGTCTGTCATGTGGTCTGAGGATCCCCACGTCTGTCATGTGGTCTGAGGATCCCCACGTCTGTCATGTGGTCTGAGGATCCCCACGTCTGTCATGTGGTCTGAGGATCCCCACGTCTGTCATGTGGTCTGAGGATCCCCACGTCTGTCATGTGGTCTGAGGATCCCCACGTCTGTCATGTGGTCTGAGGATCCCCACGTCTGTCATGTGGTCTGAGGATCCCCACGTCTGTCATGTGGTCTGAGGATCCCCACGTCTGTCATGTGGTCTGAGGATCCCCACGTCTGTCATGTGGTCTGAGGATCCCCACGTCTGTCATGTGGTCTGAGGATCCCCACGTCTGTCATGTGGTCTGAGGATCCCCACGTCTGTCATGTGGTCTGAGGATCCCCACGTCTGTCATGTGGTCTGAGGATCCCCACGTCTGTCATGTGGTCTGAGGATCCCCACGTCTGTCATGTGGTCTGAGGATCTCCACGTCTGTCATGTGGTCTGAGGGATCTGCGGGGAACATATAACATATAACACGGACTCTGCGTGTTCACCTTTCACAGTCAGATTAATAATAATCTCCGCCAAATTCTTCTGATCTTCCACAGCGGCGACTTCACAGCGATACATCCCGGTGTCCGTGCGACTGGCATTGTATATCACCAACGAGCTCTGCGACTGCAACTCAGCGCGACCCCTCAAATCCCCTGACAGAGGAGAAGAAACATTCCCTGATATAGTCCTGTACCCAGGAGCTGACACTCTAATCTCCCCTCCCCCACACATCAGTCTCTGTACAGAGGAGCTTACACTCTAATGTCCCCTCCCCCCCACAGTCACATCAGTCTCTGTACAGAGGAGCTTACACTCTAATGCCCCCCGTACCTTGGATGGTGTTCTCGAAGTAGACGTAGGTGGTCTCGTTGTTGCGCGTCTTCTTCCATTCGATGCGCGGGTCGTTGGTGTTGCTGTTTTTGATGATACAGGAAAGTTCCACTCCTGGAGGGAAGGAGGAGAGAACGTCTGTAGAATCTTCCATCTGAAATCCCAGCACATGCGGCGGGAACATGGAGGGGTGCGGAAGGTGCCGCTCGGAGGGGCCCGCACGCATGGAGGATCAATATTCCGATCACCGGCTATAATCAGAGAGAAGAAATCCCTCTGGGCTAGGCCGACGCGGTGCGGCGTAACACGCCAATTCCTGAGGCCACCAATCCGGACTCCGCCATTCCATCCCCCGGAGACAACGTGATTGGACGGTACAGGAGGGAACGTTACCGCCACGCCCCATGCTGGGACAATGGCCACATCAAAGCTCCGCCCCCAGATAATTCTCCTTTCATCCATCCGCAGAGACTACAAAGCGCATCAGCCCCGCGGAGTGCATGTGACGTCGCCGCGCTTGTAGTCTATTCGCTCTTCCTGGTCTGCACCTCGCCATGGACAGGGGGTGGGAGGAGGAGTCTGCGGGAGGCAGAACATTGCACCTCGCCATGGTTGAAACGCTCTGCGAGCTCACGCGTGACCTCGCCCCCGCCCCCTCAGGGACACAGGTCCGAGGTCAGTGTCCCCGCCCCGCCCCCTCAGGGACACAGGTCCGAGGTCAGTGTCCCCGCCCTCGCCCCCGCCCCCTCAGGGACACAGGTCCGAGGTCAGTGTCCCCGCCCCGCCCCCTCAGGGACACAGGTCCGAGGTCAGTGTCCCCGCCCCGCCCCCTCAGGGACACAGGAGGACACAAACTAGCGTCCTCCCGTCACCCTAGGCTCAGTATATAGGGAGCTACAGCTCGCGGTATACGGAGTCACCACAGTCGGGACATCACTGTCTGGATCCGCCCAGCTGTGTGAGTGATAGCTGGCTCCTCCTATCTAGAGGCAGAGCCAGCTGTACCCGCCCCCTCCCCCGTCGGTTCCGCCAGTCCGCGCTGGAGGA